TCGCTCTTTCTCACTTCCTCGGAGGCTCCTGCCATGACCCAGTCCTCTTCCTTAGGGACAGCGGCGGCCTCCCCAGTCGGAGCGGCAGACGTTAGTCCAGGCACAGCTCCGTCTGGGGATTCTTTGGTCTTCGATGCTCCCTTTGCCGACGCCTCCACCACGTATACGGGATGGGCCCTCGCAGGGCCGCTGGATAAGGAGAAATCTGGCTTCTCGCAGCGGCGCGTGTAGAGATTGAGGCGCACGATGCGATCGTTCTTAGTGATGAAGTGGATGGTTGCCGGCGGCGTCAGGCAATCCCTGAAGATATCCTGACGCGGATACCAGCTGCAGAAGATCTCGTCCATCTCCTCTGGCGTGAACGGCACCTCCTTATCCTCACGCCGCTGGTCGTTGTCGTCCTCGGTGGCCTCAGGATCCTCGCTGGCCTCGTCCTCGTTCTTCACCTCCTTGCTGCTTCTTGCCTTCTTTCTCTCTTTCTTCTCTTCTTTGCTGCTCCTCGCCTTCTTCTTCTTCTCTTTCTTTTCTTCCTTTTCTTCCTTCTCACCGCGGTCTTCTGGTGGACTCCGCTTCTCTTTCTTCACACCGCGGCCTTCTGGTGTACTCCGCGACCTTGAACGCGAGGAAGCCTCCGCCTCGGGCGGAGGAGGGGCACGAGGCTCGCGAAGAACAGCTCCCCGATCACGCTGGCGGTCGTCACGACGATCTCGATGATGATCTTCACGCTGCTTGGTGTCACGACTCCCGCCTTCACCGCGCCGATCGTCACGGGGCTTGGTATCACGATTGCCGCCCATCACGATCTTGAATATAGTTGCCGTGATCTCGTCGAGATCCACCTCAGCCGCCGTACAAGGCCTCGATGTGGTCAGCTGCAGGCGCACGAGCCGACCCTGGACGAAGTCGAGGCTCTCGAAGCGGCCTTGCTTGAAGAAGATAGGCTTCTTGTTCGTCACGCGCTCCACGATGTGATGGACCGTGGCAAGGTCAGGAAACTCCAACTCCACGCTGTGCCCCTTTGCGTGGGTGTTGGCCAGAATGCGATGGCAACGCACGACAGCATCCTCGTCCTCCTGATCCTCCCCGCGCCTGGCACGGGCGCGCGCGCGTTCATCACTGCTCTGTGCGGCCCCTGGGCCGTCGTCGGCGTCCTGGCGTAGGCTCGGCGCAGGCATGCTTTTGGGCCTGGGGTGCATAATGATCCGCTCTGGCGCGTCCGCTCGACCCTCCACTGGATGCCTCTGGGCAGGCACCGACTGGGGAGCACGGCGCCATGGAGCGCGGCCACGACGCTCCTCGGCACTGCCTGCCATGCCAACCCAGTGGACGATCGGTCCATGCACCTGCCTAGGCGCCGGCGGCTTCACAGAGGTCCGCTGGTTGGGCGACGCTGGCTGGCCATTCTTAGGCCCGATCTTGTTGTACGGCTCGCGCTCGCCACTCTTCACCTTGAGGCGCTCCGGGTCGCCACGCCAGTGGCCGGGCTGATCGCAGTCAGCACACCGGCTGTTAGCCTTGCGCTGGTCTGTCGGCTTCCGACCAGCCTGGAAGGAGCCGCTAGCGTTGATCTTCTTGGGGCCCCGCTGCCGAGGAGCAACGAACCCGCGCTTCTGACGCTGTACCGCCGTCTTCTGCTTGGCCCTCCAGCCGGCCAAGAACGCTTCCTGAAGATCCTCCGGTGCCTCGTACTCCTCGTCGTCAGGCCCGTCGTTGTCCGACACCAGCTCCTCGTCGACCTCAGCGCCGTCCTCGAAGAGGGTGCCCTCGGCCCCTCCATGGTCTCCATCGTCCTGGTCGTCTGCTTCATCTTCGTCATGCTGCGCCTCCTCGAGGTCGCCGCGGTGTTCATCGTAGTCTTCGCCGTTCTCTACCTCGTGTACGTGCTGGCCAGGGCGTCCTCGCAGCACGCATGGCCTACGAGCCATGGGAGGGTGCGGATAGCGACCGCCCGAACTCCCAGAGGAGCGCCCGTGCTCACGCTGCGCCGCAAACGGCGAGCGGCGAGGGAGCACTGAGCGCTTCTCGGTGTCGTGCACCTTCGAATAGGCTGCCTTCAGCACAACCTCCATCCGCTTCGAGTCGTAGATGCCGCCACAGTTGAAGAGCACCTGCGCTCGCTCCTTCTGCGACAGTCCAGCGCCACGAAGCATCTTGCTTGCCAATGCGCGATCGCTGATCGCTGATGTGGGATCCTCGAGCTGCAACTCCATGCGCTTCTTGCGCAGGTACGTGGTCCAATCCATGATCGGCTGCCCAGCTCGACGGTGTGCTCGCTCCCAATCCTGATGCACCTGATCGAGGCGCTCGTGATCCATCTTCTCGAAGGCGTCGTCGTAGATAGCAAAGACGGTCTCGAGCGTCTCCTCGCGTCGGAGGTCCGACGCGTCAAGCACCTCGATGAGCTCTTTGGCTCGACCTGTCACTTGACTGTAGATGATCAGGCCCAGCTCCACGTCTGAGAGCTGATTGAGGTTGCGGATGACTTCAACCTCCTTGCGCCACTCTCGGTACTTCTTAGCACTCGTACCGACTCCACCATCGAACTCTAGGAGCCTCACCTGCGACAGCAGTAGACGTGTACGTCTGGGACCGCCGTCGCCACGATCCCGATGCAAGGCCAAGAGCTCCCGCTGGGTCTCGGCCATCACGCGCAGGACTGCACGCAGGTCCGGGGGACCTGTGCCTGCGGAGGACGCAGCCTCCACGTCTGAGCCGTCGTGGCTGGTGGCCATGGCGGCCCACGCGGGTGGTCACAACCACCGAAGCAGAGCACGCAGTGCGTCCGCTGGAGCTTACTAGCTCCGCTACCAATGTCAGTGCAGTTGTTTTCAGCAAAGACCGCGCGGCAGTCCAACTGCGGGTGCGTCCCAGGGCCCTAGGACTAGGGCCAAAACAGCGGCGGGCAGCGTGCATGCCACAAAACAAGACAAGCGTGTACAACATACACACATGGTGGCACGGGCGGCAGAGGGGCAGGGGAGTGCACTCTTCACAAAGCGGTCCAGCTGCGCCGCAAAACCTGCGAGTGGCAGGACGTAGATGCGGTACGCTGCCACCGTCGCGAGTAAGCCCCCGCCGATCCTGTTCCACGTCCACGCGCGCTCCTGCATCTTCTTGAACACCTCGTCCCAAAGGCGCACCCCCTGGGTGGGGCCCAGCCAATAGCGCAGGTACTTCGTGGCTTGAGACGGTGAAGGCGCCCCACCAGGCCGCCGCTGCAGCGACCTCAGCACGTACCTGCTCGCGCGTGTGCAGGGAGAGCGGCACAATGATGAATTTGCCACTGTGTAGACGAAGACTAGAGACGAAGCTGCATTCGTAGAAGACCGGCTCTAAAAGCTCACAATACGCAAGGCCAATGTGAAAGACGAGGGCAAAACCGTCCGCGTGCGCGCGCAGAACCATGTCTGGGCAGAGGCGGCGGATCCGTCGTAACACCACGTCCGAGGTGATGGCGAACCGCGGGGGAGATGGAGGGCAACCCTGTCGAACCCCAGCAATGATACCAAAGCCAGCGCCTGTAAACCTACAGAGGGAAAGCTGACAAAACTGCTGGTGTAGAGGGTGGCCACGAAGCGCCGGAACCATAGGGGCCATCCCCGCTCCTCCAGGACTCGCTGGAGGAAGGTCTGGTCAAGGCTCGGGAACGCCGCCTCGAAGTCCAGGAAGACCCCCGAGGGGGAAGTCCTCGAGGCACGCGTCTGCCATCATCTCCTCCTCGATGTCGGCGTTGGCCAGCATGGAGCGGCCGCTCAGAAAGCCGCGCTGTTCCGGAGAAACTCCAGCCTCGATCAGCGGCTCGACGTGCAGGCGTACTGCGCTGCAGGGGGAGCGGTTGTCGGTATTGGTAAGACTAAATGGCCGCATGTTGCCTGCTCGGTAGGCCTCGGTGCCATCTGCGCGCGTCGAAATGGACTTCTTCGGGAAACATACCATGACACTCACATTGAAGTCGCGCCACGCCTCCTAGACTGTCCATAATTGCGCCCTCCATCGTGATCGGAACCGTCCATGCGCTCGTCCATAGTTGCGCCCTCCTTGTCCATGTCCTTGTCCTTGTCCTACGCGTCGGCCTCTTCATCCTGCACCGCCCTGGCGTACTCGGCGGTCCGAGCGTGACAGAAACCATGTGAATCACTCAGGCGCATCGTCCTGAGCGTTCTTACTATCCAGCTGCCCTGCGTTTCCTCTCATGGTTATCCATTCCCTCGTCCATTTCCTCACTCCTGTCCTTTGTCCTGTGTTCCAATCCCTGCGCATTGATCTCGCGCAGGTTGTCATTGCCAATGCCGCCGCTGGTTTCGCGACCTGTATCGAGCTCTGGCTTAATGTACATACACTCTCCTTTACCCACGGCGCCGAAATGCCGCGCCATCCTCTCGTCGATGTGGTACGATCTGATACACCATGTTGCTTCCGCTCGGAGTGACCACGATCTCTGATTCAATGATGTGATGAAGGTGGTTCGGTGGCACTGTGCGCGGCAGCAGCTTTTCAATCGTGCTAACCGGCGCCTGGAATTCGGTGAGGGCTGGAAGAAAACGTAAGAGCTCCAAGCGGCGTGGGCGCGTCTGCACGTCGACGATCTCAAGCCTCTCGCCACCTACCCAACTCTGCGCCTCAAGTCCATGAATTACGCTTGTAAGAGCTTACGTAGTGCGAAAGCCATCATTGCAACAATCAGTCCGTCGCTTGAAATCGAGAGGGTACATGTTCGGAATTGTCATGCAGTACAGTCGCTGTTGCCTTGCAGGCCACACACTTGTCATGGACTGCTCCGACCTGCAAAAATGACCAACGAATGGCTGCACTAGCTATCGCTATGCTGGCCTTGCTTGACCTTGAGCCAAAGGATCAGAGAGAGGAGAGGAGGAGAGGAAGGGAGAAGGTGGAGGGAGAAGGGGGAGGGAAGGGAGGAAGGGATGGCCGTTCTCTCTCCCTCTCTCTGTCCCTGTCTCTCTCGCTCTCTCTTCCGCCGGCAGTCGCCGTCGCGGGGGAGCCTTGAAATCGTGCGAGAAGCGGCAGAACTCGCCCCGGTTGCACTCTCCGCGGGTATAATCCTCCCCCCGGGGGGCAGTGGCTCGCCCCGAGTCCAGCCCAAATGGCAATCTGCACGCCTTCTGCATACCTTCCTTCGTCCTCCGCCCCCACAAGCATCCCCCAAGCCCACCCTGCCCCTCTCCTTCTCTCGCCTCGTTTCCCCACCGCTGGCCTTCTTTCGCACCGCCCCCCTACCTCCTCTCCCTCCCCTGCCTCCCCTTCCCACCCACCCCTTCCCCGCTCCCCTTCCCCCCCCCACAACTCCCGCCTTTCCGCACTGATAAGGGCGATTCGAAGGGCCAGGCCAGAGGGCGACCACAACGCGCCACAACCAGCGCGGCTCGTTGTGGCCAAGGGACTCCTCCGCCTCCTCCTCCGCCTGCTCCTCCGCCTGCTGCTCCTCCTTGTCCTTCTCCTCCTCACCCTCCAACTCCTCTCGCCCTCCTCCTCCTCCTCCTCGCCCTCCTCCTCCTCCTCCTCCTCCTCCTCCTCCTCCTCCTCCTCCTCCTCCTCCTCCTCCACTCACTCACTCGCTCGCTCGCTCGCTCGCTCACTCACTCACTCATTCACTCACTCCCCCTCCTCCTCCTTCTCCTGCCTCCTGCTCCTGCTCCTGCTCATCCTTTTCCTCCTCTTCCTCCTCGTCCTCCTCCTCCTCCTTCTGCTCCTCCAGCTTCTGCACCTTCCCCCTGCTCCTGCTCCTGCTCCTGCTCCTCCTCCTGCTCCTCCTCCCGCTCCTCCTCCTCCTCCCCCTCCTGCTCCTCCATTCATATGCCTTATAAATAGTTTCTCCCTGTCGCACCCCGAGGTCAGTTTTCAGGGCGGGCCGGGCGTTTCGCCTGAGACTTCCTCACCGTCTATGACTCTGAAGCTAACAAATTGGCAACAACTTCACAGGTGGAGGGCGGGCAGTTTTCAAAATGTAGCTCTCGCCACAGCGCGGCGCACATTCGTGTTAAACATCTGCAAGGGTTTCACGGATGGAGGGCGGGTCGTTTTCAAAATGTGGCTCTCGCCGTAACGCGGCGCACAACCGTTTGTAAATATTGCAGGAGCTTCACGGATTGAGGGCGGGTCGTTCTCAATATGTGGCTCTCCCTCAGCGCCGCGCACATTCATTTGAAACACTTCTAAGAGCTTCACGGATGGAGGGCGGGTGGTTTTGAAAATGTGGCTCTCGACTTAGCGCGGCGCACATTCGTGTTAAACATTTGCCAGAGAATCACGGATTGAGTGCGGGTCGTTTTCAAAATGTGGTTCTCACCTGAGCGCTGCGCAAATTCGTTTACAAGAGTTGCAAGAGTTTCACGAGTTCCCGTCATCAACGTACCAGACATGACGTTTCGATGAAACGATTCAGGATTACGCGGGCGCAACAATTACGTTAATTCGCTGTGCTGAAGTCCCAACAATGGCGTTCTGGCACGATTCAGGATCGTCAACACGCAACCGTCAGGCGGATCCGTGGCGTTGGAATCCCGAGAACAATGTTTTGGCATGCTTGAAGATCTTCAGACGGTTGTCTTCCGACGAGGCAATTCCATCAATGGAAATGAACCGTTATGGTGGCCTCTGAAGAGGGAGCTTGGAGGGAGGCTTTATTACAACGCCGTTGATGATTCGTGGGTATTCACTGGTCCTCCTCCTCCTCCTCCCCTCCTCCTCCTCCTCCTCCTCCTCCTCCTCCTCCTCACTCCTGTTGCTCCTCCTCCTCCTGCTCGCTCCTGCTCCTGCTCCTGCTCCTGCTCCTGCAACTGCTACTGCTCCCCCCCTCCTCCTCCTCCTCCCCTCCTCCTCCTCCTCCTCCTCCTCCTCCTCCTCCTCCTCCTCCTCCTCCTCCTCCTCCTCCTGCTGCTGCTGCTGCTGCTGCTGCTGCTGCTGCTGCTTGCCTGCCACTGCGCACAGATTGTTTGCTTCCTAGCGTCTTCTGTGTACCCCGACGCCGTTCACTCAAGAGATCTTCACCCACTAATGTTCACCGCAGAGGCGTGAACACATCCACGGTTTGAGCGCCAGCCTCCTCCTCCTCCTCCATGTTTCTCCTCCTCCTCCTCGTCATCCTCCTCCTCCTCTTCCTTCTCATCATCATCATCATCATCATCAGCATCAGCATCATCATCATCATCATCATCATCATCATCATCATCATCATCATCATCATCATCATCATCATCATCAGCAGCAGCAGCAGCAGCATCAGCATCAGCATCAGCATCATCATCATCAGCATCATCATCAGCATCATCACCATCATCATCATCATCATCATCATCATCATCATCATCATCCTCGTCGTCCTCGTCGTCTCATCATCATCATCATCATCATCATCATCATCATCATCATCATCATCATCATCATCATCATCATCAACAGCAGCATCAGCATCATCATCATCATCATCATCATCAGCATCATCATCATCATCATCATCATCAGCATCATCATCATCATCAGCATCAGCATCAGCATCAGCATCATCATCATCATCATCATCATCATCATCCTAACCGCTCGCAGGCACCTCCATACCTGCATTCACTATCGCTGCCTACTTAGACTCCTTGCCTGTCAACGACGCCGATGTCCAACAGGTCAAGAGCCATGAGACGCTCCGGGACGTGCTCGTGCTGTGTCCTCCTTGGACGCGTGCGTCTGACCCAACGTACAGTATAACCATCATAGTAGTTGATGGTTTCCCGAGCGGTGTAGCCAGAAAGCGCACGCAACGGAGCCTACACTATAAGATTTCTCGGCGCGCGCGTCGCCCCTGGGATGGGGGGCGACCCACACATAATATTAGCATGTTGGGGTGACGCCGAAACCATGCGGGTGATGTCTGAAACGAGCTCGCGGACACGCCGGCCATGCACCCACTCCAAGAGCGATCAGATATGAAAGTACCCTGTGATGACCGGCATTCCGACATCGACCACGCTAGCTTCAGATAAAGAAGCGAGCCGCAGGTCACGAAGGCGAACTAAATCAACACCCTGCGCCCTGCGCGACCCCGCCGCAGAAGTCCACTGATTGGCTAGAGGGATCCGCAGCATGCAGCGGACAAGGGTGGCCAGGGCATGAAGGTGCTGCTCAACCTGGCCACGTTCAACGTTGGCGCAAGTCGACGATCAACAACCCTCACTCAGAAGACTTTCGAGAACAGTTCCCCCGAGCCATTTCAACTGGACCAACTTAATGCGTTTTACAAGCTGGTTACCCGGGGCCCACCCCAAAACAAGTCACCCCCTTCCGCCCCTCCACCCCCCCGCCCACCCACACACACACACACACAGAAAGTAAGGCAATGTGAAAAATGAAGGCGACGACGAGCAGGATACGTGTGCGCATGCCTTCTCCTCTGCGGCCTCCTGGCAGGGGGTCCTTGCAGAACTCCCTCCCGCCGCGGCTGCGGCTGCGTGGCCTTCCCTTCGGCGCGGCACGCTCTGCCTCGCTACAAGAAGCGCCTGCGCCCGCTCCGTCGCCGACACTGACCCACCCAATCCACCGCCGGTCGTCCTGCGGCTTGGCTTGGCACAGAAGGACCTCTTTCTCCGATTTGAGGGGGGAACTAATCGTCGCTGTCGCTCGCGGATGCAAACCCACCTTGCAAGACCCCTCTCGGCAATACCAAGCCTTGCATTGGCCCTCGCTCGCCGCAGCGAAGCCAACTGCCACTCGGATCAGCAGTCTTAGCACGTTCTCTCTGGGGCGAAGACCCGCTCGTCGCCAACGACGACTCGAACTCATACTAGAGCATGCTCTGGACGGAGCTGCATGGAGAAGGCAAGCACGGGCGGGGGCAAGACAAAGCAATACCTAAACGCGCGAACCCCTCACGAAATCGGGGGATGATGATGACATCTACCCGCGCGTTAGTACAAATGGTGCTATATGTGGACTGAATGCCTGCTCCAGGCATCACGTTAACACATCAAAACACCATAATGGTCATCACTGGTGAGAGAACTGGACAGTCAAATATATCGGAGTCGCCATCACGCTGGCAATCGGTGCCTTGTTGTTGACTATTTTGCATGTGCCTCCACAGCAGATGTTCCCAAACTGGCTCTCGTAATTAGTGTCATGTCTCCGCCTCCTCACGTCACACCGCCTCCCCACTGCCCCTCCTCCCTCCCCCCTAATAGCCGGACGCACCCATAGTCAGACGCACCTGCCTCACGCACACGCAGACCAGACAGGAGACAGACAGAACTAGGAAGCAACTCCTGGGAGACTTTCGTCTGCACGAGAAAAGGCTATTCAGCCCGATTAATCCCTGCGTCGGCCAAGCGTGTCCTCCACTGGGTTGACCCGATTAGCCCGACTAGCTACTCACAAAGGTCCGGCGTGAGACCCGAATAGCCCGAACAAAGAAAAAAAGAAAAAAAAAGGAAAATTAAAGAAAAAACACTAATAAAAGAATAAACCGAACAGCGAAAAAAAGAAAAAACGAAACACCAAAAAATAAACCCACCAAACACGACCAACCAACCACACACACACACCCACCCCCCCGCACACCCGCCAACCATATTCACCAAACCCACACTACCCCCCCAAACCCAATATACCCATACGCTCCTGCCCCCCCCCGAACCCCCCGTCCCACCCCAGACCCACATCCCCCCCCCCCCCGCTCCACCCTCCCTCCGGCCCCCCCCCCCCCCCACCGCTTCCCCCCCCCGCCAAAAACCCGCTAAAACCCCCCCCTCATATACCCCCACCGCCCCACCCGCACCCACCCCCACTGCCCAAGCCCAACCCTCCCCCACCCGCCCTACCCCTCCCCACCCCCCCCTTTCAGATTCCTTCGATCTTTCCCCTCCAAGCCCTCCCAGCCCGTCTCCGACCGAATAGCGCCGGAGGCGCGCGCCACAGCGCGCCTCCAGCCCCCCATCCAGCACGACGCGCGAACGCAAGCCCGCGTCCGCCAGCGCCCATGCCAAAATCCTTAGGAAACCCCAGCGTAAAAACTTAATGTATTGCCTGAGGTCGAATAGCATTTTCGTATGGTTCTGCCTAAATCGGACATGCCTGAATCGACCAGAGCGGAGTACCGGTATCTCCTTCGGGAGTGTCTCCTGCGGCCTCCTGGAGCCTCCTGGGGCCTCTTGAAGGCTCCTGAGGGCTCCTAAAGGCTTCCTGGAGCCTCCTGGCGCTCTGGGAGCCCCTCTGGAGCCGCCTGTGGCCTCTTGGACATATAAGCCCCGTAACCTCTATAATCGCTATCACCTCTATCAACCCTATGATCTCTATAATCCTACAAGTCCGATAGCCCCTGTGACCACAAAAAGCCCGATAGCCCTATAGACCGCGGAACCCCTATGACCCGTATGATCCCCAGAACCCCTATAACGTTTCTGACCCCTGACGACGACGACGACGACGACGACGACGACGACGACGACGACGACGACGACGACGACGACGGCACCCCTGACCCCATATAACCCCGGTAAAATGACCTGGATAACCTTATAACCACTGTGCGCCCTATAGTTCCTATGACCCCTACGACCCCATATAATCCTTATGGCCACTTTGACCCGTAAAGCACCAAGAACACACACACACACAAACCGTAGAACCTCGATGGCGCCTTGAACCGTTACATCCCCTATGACCCCTCAAACTCCAATGGCCCCTATGAACCCTGCAACCTCTATTATCACTATCACCTCTATCACTATCACCTATAACTCCTATGAATCCTATAACCCCTGAACACTATAACCCGTATAACCCTGTAGCCCTCATCACCACTATGACCCCTATGGTTCCCATGGCCCCTAAAACGCATATCACGCCTTCAACCCTTCTAACGCCTATCATTCCTATGAGCCCTGAAACCTCTATGGCCCTTATTACCGTCATAACACCTGTGAACCGAATAGCCCCAATAGCCGGAATGGGCACGAGTAGCCCGATTAGCCAGAATAGCCCGAATGGGCTCGACGCGCGACACATTCTGTTGGAGCCGAGTAGCCCGAATAGCCCGACTGGGCCCAGCGCACGAGGGATTCCGATTGACCCGAATAGCCCGAATAGCCCGAATGGGCCCGAGTAGCCCGAATAGCCAGAATAGCCCGGATGGAATCCGAATAGCCCGAGTAGCCCGAATGGGCCTGGCGCACAAAACATTCCGATTGAGCCGAGTAGCCCGAGAGGCCCGAGCAGCCCGACTGGGCCCAGCGCACGAGGCATTCCGATTGACCCGAATAGCCCGAACAGCACGAATGAGCACGAGTAGCCCGCATAGCCCGAATACGAATAGCCCGAATAGCCCGAATGGGCCCGGCCCCGCACGAGACATTCCGATTGGACCGAATAGACCGAATAGCCCAAATGGGCCCGAATAGCCCGAATAGCCAGAATAACCCGAATAGTCCGAGTAGGAATAGCCCGAGTCCCGAATAAGCCCGGCGCACAAAACATACCGTGTGAGCCGAATAGCCTGAGTAGCCCGAGTAGCCCGAATGGGCCAAGCGCACGAGACATTCTTATCCGAATAACCCGAATAGCCCGAATGGGCCCGAGTAGCCCGAATAGCCTGGCCCGGGGCCCGAATAACCCAAATAGCCCGAATAGCCCGAATAGCCCGAATCCCACCAGCGTTCTGGGCGTAGGTGATCTAAAGCGGTTTCTCTTCAAACCCCTCCCTCTTCCACTTGGGATAAAAAAATTATCTAAACTAAGATACAATCAGAAAATAAAAGCGAAACCGACTAAAAAGCCAGATAAAAACTAATACGAGAAAAAGGGGTGTATCCACTGTTCCCTATGAATTTACACCCCCTCCCCCACGCTCCGCAGCCAACCAGGAACAGTGAAACCCCAGATCACACACACACTACCATCGGTTGTCAAAAACATAACGAAAAAAACACACGCCTGCCCTTCAAAAAATCGGCGCATGCGCCGCATGCGCAACCAACCGATGCGCCCCCCCCCCCCAAACCATCCCAGGTTTAAATAAATAAAAAATACTAGAACCACGCGCGCGCTACGCGCGCGCTAAGGTTCTAGTCGCAGATGAGCCACGGGTGCCGTTGTAAACCCCGCTGTGGCCACAACGACGAGTTCCAGCGTTCTCGGGTCCATGTCATAGACGCAAAAAAAACGCGTAGTCTGAACGCGGGGCGCCACGTTCCCGCGCACCTCACAATCTCGCTGCCGCCTTCGTTTGGTTTATCGAACTGCGTTTGTTTCTCCACTTTCATTTCCACTCTGCCCCGTCGCAACATTCAATGATTTCGCACATCTGCTCAATCTCCCCATGCCCGATCACGCAGACATCTGAAGGTTCCTGATGTTGGGGTTGGCTCGGGGCCTCGTTGCGCGCGCGTGGGAGCGCGTTGTTATTTTCCTCTTCCTTGTGCTCCAAGCTTCTCGTTCACAGCGGTCGTTCAGCTGTCGGATATTTGCAGAGGGCGCGCGCAGATGCCCTCGTCATCTGCGCCCTTCTCTGCAATCAGTTGCTGTCGAGTCCGTCCACGGGAGTGGGGAAACTTCTTTGTGCTGGACGCCAAACCTCATGCCGGCGATAATCGCACCCGTGGGAACAGAAGGCTCGGGGTCACGGGGGATGCTCAATGATTTGCCTGGCAAGTCCCATGTATGGGGTTGCGTGGAGCTCTGACGGGGCCTCTGGCGGTACCTTCTTCGCGCTCTGGCGAGGCCTTTCAGGAGGTGGGGGAGGGCACGAAACCTAAACTATTGTATGGTATAGCCACACCCCGCTCGCTCGGGCGGGTCCGCCTTGCAAGGGTGGGAGGAGCAAAAGCCGCGTGAAAGAGTATGGTGTAGGGATGTCCTGCTCTCTCTAACGGGGGTTCCCTGGCGCTCTGGCGGGGCTTGCCCAGGAGGGGAGGGAAGAGCACGAAACCTGAGGAAAACTATGGTATAACCACATCCCGTGCGCTCTAACGGAACTACTTCGGGTGCGGTGGGAAGAGCAAAACGTAACAGGGACTGTATATGCTATAGCAACACCCCTCTCGCTCTGCCGGGGCCGCCCTTGAGGGTATAGCGATGCCCCGCTCGCTCAGGCGGGGCCTGTCTGGCGCTCTGGCGGGGCCGTCCCAGGAGAGGAGGGAGAAGCACGAAAACTGAGGGGTGAGGGGAAGAAGAGGAGAGAGGAGGTAATGGAGGAGGGGGTGGGAGGGAAGGAGGGACAGAAAGGGGAGGCCCGGGCCATCTGGGCCGTCTTCGAGCGCCCTGGGGCCTCCCGCTCCCGCTCTGTGGTCCATTTTGGGCCTATCCTGGGGCCTCTTGGGCCGTCTGGGGCTCCTCGTGTGCAATTTGCAGGTTCTCTGGAGCCGTCTTGGCGCTCTTTTGGGGCGTCTTCGGCGGTCTTGAGGCGGTCTTGAGGGCGTCTTCGACCTTCTTCGAACATTGGAAGCTCGAGGACGCGAGAAAGCG